TTTCGGCTTTGTAGGCTTCGTGCCTCCAAGTTGCAACGAAGCGGACCTTTCAGCGGGACACTGCTTAGGAGTTCTCAAACTGGAAACAAGGGAATCCCCACCTAAAGGACCTTCACTGCTGAACTACATAGCTAAATCCCCAGCTAAAGGAATCCTTTGTTTTTCCTCCCAGAGCTCGCTATGATGTTTTGCCAAGGTCAAAATGACTGGTTCCCCCCAGAGAACATGAGAGAACGAGCGAGTTCCCCTAGCTTTCGCGATTGAAATTCGCGACTACCGCGCTTCAAATGGACCATAGACTGCTGGAAATGTTGACAGAACCTCTGACAAATGCTGGGCTCACATTAGAGAAGCTAAGCCAAGCCTGCGCATCAGCCCGCAGCCGTCGCGGCATAGCAGATTCGCTGCGTGTGCGATGTTCAGGAACCTCTGACAGCGTCCTTCTGCTGAGTTAACAAAAGGGACGTCCTTGTATATCTCAAAGGACACCTAGCAAGTTGAAGCGCCCCAATGAAAAAAAAGAAAAAAGAATTGGCAACCAAAAAGTGAAGTTGAAACCACCCCATTTTATCGGCCTAGTCAACCGCACCCCCGGCGATGGTTAAGCTTTTTGTATCTTATGGGGGGCCAAGGTTGGGGATTCGGGTATGCTCTATCATCACTTTGGTGAGAGGCAAAGAGGGAAGTGACCAAACGTTGACCCAGTATTGCATGTGTCTGTTTGGAGTCGGTGGTTTTGAGGTGGTTTAGCCCTAGAGAGCCTTTCCACGAACTTGGTGATCGTGTCGCTGAGTGTCTCTCAGGGCAACTTGATGTATAAATCATGTGTATGTGCATGCATGCATATCTATATATATATATATATATTCATACACACACATACGCACCCAATATCTTGCTCAGAGTTTGGCTCTTTAGTGGTCATAAAGTGGTTCTACACCCTTGGGCATGGTAGGGGATCGTGGAAGCTGTCAGGGCAAGTTACTAGTTACTATGATTCGGCCACCTGAAATTTAGGGAATGCCCAAGGGGTCTTCACCATGGGTGAGCCAGGCCCATCTTGTGACTCGCGTCTCACGTGCGCCGGGCGTCGGAAGCTGGGAAGCCGCGGCAACCGACGTGTGTCTGGACTTGGGATTCGGGCCCCAACAGGGTTCCCCTTAAAGCCACCCGAAAAAGGTGGTTGGTAGAGCCTCAAGGATGTCCCTTTGCAGATTTCAGTTCCACCCACTCATCGGAGTATGCAATGAGCGCTGCCTACTAGAATGATGAAGCATTGAAACATCTGGTTTTCTGTGGGCCAAGCATCGGTTTGCCAGGCTGTTGCCACTCGGTGTCCATGTCTGGCTCGACGCAAGCGCCTTTCGGGAATTCCGCTGGCTTTCGGGAATTCCGCTTCACTTCATCATTGCCCCGTCGAAATGCAGAGTCCAGGCGGGTTGTACTGTGTTTGGCATTTGTTTGAAGAAGCATCAGGAATTTTGGCAAGCCGCCCCTAAGCTCTGAGTTCTAAAGTCCTTCATATCTAGTCTACTCTGAAATACATATATATATATACATATAATAGTTTTGGAGGAGACCCCGGTATGGGTCCTCTTATTCTTCGACAGTACGCTTCTTGGAGGTGTCTAGGCCGGGAGAGCCATTCATTTGGTTCATACCCCCTTGAGACAATTACCATCACCAGACATAAGGGAACTTCCAGTAAAGGCCTTCCTACCAGCAGAGCTCGTTATTTCTCCAGGTTTTCGGTTTCCTTACTGAACAGCACAAATCCAACTCATGGGCCGGCATCCTTTTAGGAAATCATCCGATTTGCTGTATGGGTCCCAGGCTCTGAGGTGTGTCTATCCCTGCCTTTTCCATGGCCCCGCACCCAGCCAGGGATTCCTTTGGATCGACCTGCAGATCCTTGGAAGGCTCTGAAAAGGGATAGCGAGGGTCGCAAACCTTCTTGGCCCCCCCCCTCCCGAATTGCCTGTAGTACATGCTATGTTAAGAAGGATCCCTGGCAGGGGTTGTTGGGCTTTGGGGTGGTCATCCCTGCATGGCCGCTGCTTGGCTATGTCAGCTTTTATCAGTTGCTAATAGGGATATGAACCCACTCAACCCTGGTCAGGCAAAATATCCCCATTTTGGAGGTTAACGCCATTTACAAAAAAAAACGGCCAAGTGCCTTCCAATCGCTTTTCTCCTCGGCCAACTTTTGTTGGACGCAATCCGGGCGTTTCTCCCGCTGTACACTTTGGGTGTTCCAGTCGCTCGGCAAGTCGACGCCTTAACCCGCTTACTGGTCAACGGTCCGCCCGAACCTGAGATTTCAATGTGCTCAGCGACAGGGAGATGGTGACATAACCGCTATGTGGGTATGGGTCAAAAAGAAACCACCAGGGGACCACAGGTTTTAGTCCATGTTGGTCTATGTTTCCATGTACCACGGTTCCATTGTTCCATTGTGGGTACCTATTTTTGACCCACACCCATTTGACAAAACCTCCACTTCGAACCGGGGGTCATTGTGTTTGCTCCTCAAAGATTGCCGGCATGTCAGATAACCCGTGTTGAATCGCAACAGTCACTGCGATGCTTGGTTTTTTGTCAAAGGGGGTTAGTCTCCTACAAATTGCAGTGGAACCCAAATAAGGGCCTTTTTTCTAAAGGAGAATCCTCTATGAATGTTGCTGGGGGTTCCATCGATTTGCAGGGAGTGGGTCGCTATATTACAAAGCTACCCAGGTTACAACCGACTCATAGGCCCATCAGAGGAAGCTCGCCACAAAATCAGCCCTTTTCACCATACTTATGGAACCTTCAGCGGGCAAATCTTCAGGAGCTTCTACCTTTTGCGGAGTATTTAGGCACCCCCGCCCCCCCTCCCCCGAAGACCCCTCATTGGTGGTGATTGGTGGAAACCGCCTCTGCCCAAACCACCTGTCCAATTCACCAAACAAGAGCCCACGTTCTTCCCTCGGGGTCAAAAGGGCCTCAAGAAAAAGGATCTTCCGTACCGGCCATGACTTCTCCTCTGGGAAGATGACACTTAATAGACAAACTTCCTTTTTATGGTCATTGGGTTTTCAAAGAAGACAACAAAAACACATTGGGTTGGGTTTCTATTTAAAGAAAAGAAAAGAAAACATGACTTCCCGGGTTCTTGGCTCTGTTTGACTCCACTGGGCAACGAGCGCCGATCTCCGCCCGATCGGGAGGGCCCTCTCGCCCTCTAATCGCCACGGACGATTCGGGCGCTATGGCCGGACGGTCTACGGGCATGGGAGAGACAGAACCCCAACCGATCGGTTGCTCCCTGATCGACCATATCGGAGGATCGAACATTGGTTGAAGAAACCAAAGCAAAGGACGTCGTGTCCTGCCCACGTTGCAAATGAATCCATCCGAGGTCCTTTTTGTGAGGGAAATGGTCTTCAGGACTCAGGGTTCATGTTCGCGGCGAGGGTAAGCCAATGTTCTACCCTGGGTATGTGTCAAAATAGAAAATGGGTTTCGGTGTTCCTCGTCTTTCCCTTTGAAGCCAGCCCAAAAGACCAAAAGAACACGCCCTGGTTTGATCAAATTCCAGAGGCTCGGGTCGCTCCCTGAAAAATAGGCGCACAAAACCACTATCCCTTTCAAGGAGCCGGGTGGGACCCGGGTCCCACAATTCCATAGTGGGGCAATTCCAGGGGCACCTCCCTTCCTCAATTCCATGCTTAAGAGGTTGGACAGCCAGAATTCCACTTGGGTATGTGGGAAAACAACCACGGGCAACTTGGATGAGGAACCTCTGAAGGAAACCTTCATCTCTTGTGAGCTCATGAAAACAAAAACACCAGGGAAGCCGAGCCTAACTTATTGCAAATAGATACAATGACCTGCCGGCCAGCAAAATTGCCGTTCTGAGAGACGTTGTGATGGAACCCCCCAAGAGCCCCTCATGGCCTTCCAAGCGAGTACACCACTTTTCCTCAACTAAGAAGTGGATCCCCCCAGCAAAGGATCTCCCAAAGGCCTATCAAATGTTGGATGCTACCGAAAGGTAGTCAAGCTGGTTTATGCATATGCAGTTCCCCTAAAGGCCATGGGAAAATCAAGGAGTCCCCTGGCCTTTGTGAAAATGTGTGGAAGAAAAAAATAAGTCCCTGAACTACTGGACTGTTTGACAGAACCTCCGACGGGTTCACGCACTTTGGACCTTCGACTTTGCTAGATAGAAGCTCATTCACACAAGACAGACGGGCTGCGTTTCTTCCTGAAGAACAAGACCGGCTCGACACACCACACTCGACGCGTCTTCTTGTGACATCCTCAAATGGGTGAAAATGCAAAACAAAACATCCGTTAGAAGTGAGATTGTGCCGAAATGATGGATCATCCCAAGTGATACTTGAGTTCATACACACATGCTGCATGTGACATCCTTGGAAAACCTCGCCCATCCAAATCTCTCCGTTCTATGGTGATACGTGAAACCTTTCCGCGCTTGGCGCAGGCTCTCGTTGGGGACCACCTCATTTCAGCGTCCTTTTGCCTTGGGAGAAGCTTGAAAATAATCTAAATCACTCTGCAGGGGAGGGAGCTCTTATCTGCAGTTGTTACAATATCTTCAAAACCTGAAATTAGGGATCCAGAAGTAGAGCTCATTCCCCCCCCCAAGTGAGCTCACCATGAATAGGCAGACCGTATTTTTCCAAGAACAATGTCAAGACCTGACCAAGCCCCGGCCAACAAACTTGCCAGCTCTTGGTGAGAAAACTAGGAAGTGCCCCCTTCAAAATGTAGACTTGCGGGCATTTGCTCGAGGCTCGGTAACCTGTTGGGGGTGTTCAAAGCAAAACTAAAGCCGATTCTGGGGGGGGGTCCAAAGAGACACCCAAAGGAGCCATGAACAAATCGATTGTTTTCCCTCAAAGGCATGGAAAAAAAGCGAGTCCCTGGCTTTTGCGGGGGAAACGGACTATAGACGTCTGGAAATGTCCGAACGTAAGACTCCAATTGAAGATTCGGGCCCCCCAGACGAGAGGCTACCCTGGCGGTCTGCAAGCGCACGCTCGAAAGCGTAGAATGAGCCGAAAGTCAAGTCTCCTCGTCCTGCTCCTGACGAGCGAAAAGCGAGAAACCTTGGAGAGCTCCAAACCATGCTCAACACTCGGCCCACAAAAAAAAACACTCAGAATGCAAGATGCTCAGACTTTGTTTCATATTTAGCCTACGTTCAACACAAAGCCATGTTTTGGGATCAGAGACTCCATGTTCGGGGGGACGCTCCAAAAAGCTGCCTAAGACCTGAAAACCGTTGGGATCCTAAGGTTTCGCTTGTTTTACCTCATCGGTGGAATCACTCGCCAGAAAATTGCAGAGAAAGATTCGGTCACAAAGCTAGAAATTTGGCCCCCAAAGGAAGACAAGAGCACCCAAGACCAAGTTCCTGCCCTGGCACCAAGTGTTTTGTGTTGCTTGCCCAAGGGAATTGCGCCATCTACCTGCACCCTGTAAGGACAAATGGGACTCCCAAAATTTCCATGACCTCTTCAAGTGGTGCCTTCTTGGCTTCTCCATTCAACTGCATGGGACACCTCCTAAAAAGACCACAATTACCAGCTGATTTAGAGGATCGCCCTGTAAAGCAGGTGGTGTTGGGTGTACCTTTTGGGGAGCCGTGTCCACATAGTACCCTGGTAGGCAACTGAGGCAGAGGTTTCCGCTAGGCGTGCGGTTTTTCTTGGGACCAGGTCCGGACCCCGGACTGGAACTCCAAAACTGCCCGGACCCTGGTTGCTCCACTCTCCGTTCACCCATCGTTCTGTCCAAACAGACGCAGAAACAACACAGTCACAACCAACCAACCAACCAACCAAACGCACAACGGGGGAAAACAAAATGCAGGTTGTGAACAACAGCTGTTTGATGTCTTTTCTTAGGTGAAACTGCCCGTTTTGCAGAGGCTGCCCCTATTTTAGGACGCAACCAGCTCTTGGCCCAACTCTGGGGTACTCCATATGTATGTGTATGCGTACAAATATGTCTATGTGTATATATATATATATATTATTTTTGATTCAGCAGCATGTGCAATTCAGTCTGCCCCAGATATATTCAATAACAACAATGGAAGAGACATGCTGAGACGCCGGAATGGTCCGCAGACCCCACCTGGGTGGCAATGAGGGACTGAGTGGCATTCACCATCTTCTCGTAGCGGTCTTGCTTCACCAACTGAGCGGAACGAGCCAATTTTGGGAGCGAGACCAAGACCCCACCCTGGGGGGTCACAGGAATTAAAAGCCACACTCGGTTACTGTCTGCTCCCCTCCAAAAGCTTAACTTCTAGTGGCTTAATGGCAAACCCAGTAGTTGGCAAATTCCTAACATCCAAGCAAAATGCACCTCTGCACATATCTTGTGCAAAGGTCACCGGACCAGCCCTATGGTCGTTGACTTAAATCAGGGGTCAGGTGGGGAATTGCGACGGGAGGTTCCACTGTGGTATTTTTCGGCTGAGTTCGCTTTGTGTGGTGTAAGGAACCCAGCTCGGGCAGGTCGGAGGTTGAATCAGCTTGGGCCACACACAATAAGGGATTCCTTACAAACCACACATACACACACACACACACACTTAAACTCCAGATGGAGGGTGCTAATCTTTCGAGTACAACTGATGAGTCTCGAGTACAACTGATGAGGCTCGAGTACAACTGACAAGTCTCAAGTCGGATAAGGTTCGGCTGGCAGGTCACTTGGCTTCACTCTAGTGTCGAAAACGTTACAAGGTTCAACATGAAGCACACACAGCGGCAAAAGAAGCGGCCAACTGGACTTTCATCAACATCACTTCACAAAAGCAGGTACACACGGGTGATCAATCCGTGCATCCACCATCAAGCATAGCTTCGTTGGCCAGCGTTTGCTTGATGGCCGTTGGCCCCCTGCTACTAATTGTGGTGACAGGGTATTCTGCCACTCCGCACACACACACGCCCCTCAGTGAGGGGCGAGAAGTCTCTTTTTCAGCAGGAAGATCACATACTCAACTGCGTATCTCTATCGTTTACCAAAATATCCACAGCGGCGAGGAGAACGCGAAACTGCCCGAAGCCGCTCAGAAGACGGGAACGAAAGATCACCACGATGAGCATGACGGGTGTCGCCATAGAAGACCGGAGGAAGTTGCAAAGCAGTCGAGCGATCACCGTCAGAAATAGGGGGGGCATAGGTGAACATCTCCTCGACTCGGATTATGTCCGAATTCTGCACGTCAACAAGTGATTGATCCTGGGCTTGATGAGTGGAGAAGGACTCAAAGCGAGAAAGAATGCGTTGGTAACCTTGATGTTGCCAGTCGCGAATTGTCCACGCCTGACTGTGTTCACCAGTCCCACCAATGGGATCAGTTACCCGCTTCCACTCCCGAAACGAGTTGTCTGGTAGGTCAGGTACGGCTTCTTCTGGTTGCCACAGCTGAGGTTGTCCCGGAGTATAGATCCGCACCCACTCCTGATCCTGCCAGACTGAATATTCGAGCCATGGGTGCTGCTCAGCGGTTCGGCCCGACGTCTGAGTTGCATCCTCGATGTCCATGCCGAAGTGAAAGACAGGGCGTACCGCGGGTTCCGATCCAGCTAGCAAAGAATCAGTCACCATGCACAACCATGCACAACCAGCAACTACACAAGAAAGCACGAGGATGAGAAAGCACCCTTTTGTGCCATGATCAACACGCATCAGTCTATTCATCATTTAGCTCGAAGATAGGCTTCTCCTTGGTGATGGAGCTGCATGGTTGGGTCGTAGGTAGATATGGATCAGAGACCCCAATAGACTCAGGTGGTTCAACTCCACGAGATGCACGTACTGGTTGGTGCTGATGGGACGCTTGACGCGCGCGATCCGACAGTTGCTGAGAGATCCCATCTTGAAGACGAGTGAGATCCTCAGTGGAGAAAGCCGCAGCATCCGATGATCTAAGAATCGCATTCAACATTTGCGGTGACATACACAAAGCCGATGCTTGCGTGGCCACGCTATGTTGATCAGGAAAAGACATCGAATTGAAGCCATGAACAGCTTGAGGGGCAGCGACTCGCCGGTAGCCCTCTGTGGCCCAGTCCCTTTTGTACCAAATGCTGTTGTTGGGCTGCCCGCCTTCTTGATCAAAATTTGGGACACAGAACTCCTTCCACTCTCTGTATGTGTGGGGCGGAGGCGGATCATCACGTTCGTCCTGTGGAGTCCATGATCCCGGATGAAAAATCTTGACCCATTGAGCATCTGGTTGTTGAGGATCCGGACACCACTCCAGCCACGGCATGACAACTCAAACCCTTGATGCAAAATCGAGAGGTGCACGGCTGCAGACTACAAGCACTACATGTGACACAACAACAAACATGCAAGCAAACACTTTTGTAGCAAGGCGCGGCTCAGGTGTCGACGTCACTCGCCCCAATCAAATTGAATATCATGGAAAGACGAGGACGAACATCAGCCACCATCCGAGTTCGAGGATGCCGACGAAGAGGACAGCCCAGCGTACATGAGGTCTGGTGATCCCGAAGCGAAAACTGGACGTGCAATGTTGGGGCGCGGATGGCCGAGCCGTTGATATCCTCTGGTGACCCAGTCACGATACTGCCATGTGTAAAAGGATGCATATGAGACCGGCTGGGAAACAGAGCCCATACTAGCCAAGTCGAAGTAAAAGGATCCGGAGCATATACATAGACTCGAATTTCAACGCTTGTGCTCGCAGGGCCATTGACGATGTCGTACTCAAAATAGCGTGGTAGGGACCATCTTGCAGTGCCACATATTGTGGAATTGAACATACCAACCAGATAAGCCGCTTTGAGGCAAAAGGGAGCGGCGAAAACATGGAGAAGGAAAGCACAACACAAGCCAAGACAACCCAAGTTGATGCAGCAATCAAATCAGGCACAATCGCAAATGTTGCTCAAGCATCAATCCGATTCGTTCCAATCAAAATTAGGATCATAGCTCGGTGGGGGAGAAGGTTCCCGCCACGCCCCATCCGGAACTGAAGACTCCGACGAGGAAGTAATTTCTTCATTCACGAGCTCCGTCGATCCAATGGTTGGTCGTGGATTGCCAAGGCGTTGATAACCTCGCGTGTTCCAGTCTCGGAATTCCCACACGTGATATGACACGTACGACATGGGCATGACATTGGGGTCCGCAGCTGTCCCCCGGCGCTGTCTGCGGGCAAGTACACGTCAAAGTGATATGGGCTGCGCCACTCCCTGATACGTGAGATCCAATGCTGGTATTGTCCTCGCGTGGTCACGTCACGTACGACATGGGCATGACAAGCTAAGTACACGGTGATATGCCACTCCCGGTGCGTAGTCCGGTGGGTAGCTGTGGCCACAATGTCGAATCCACTCCACGCCTCTCTCGATGTGGTACTCAAAATAGTGCGGGCACATGATAGCCAAATGTGTCGTCACAGTGCTGTGGAAAGAAAGCGCAAAGCCAAGGAATCTGCGGCGAAACACTCATGCCATGACAACCCTGACTGCAATGTGAATGTGTTGAGCAACGCAATGCAAGGCAACTTTTCAAACTGAAGGCGGGACGAATCAACAAAGTCTGTAGTATACGACAACTATGATTCACCGCCGCTGATGCCGCACACACCTGCAATGGTAATGTCCTGGTCGGCGACGAGTACAGGGAGAAAGACACTTCCGTCCATGATGTAGAAAAGCATGACAGTAATGCTTGCAACTTGTCGATGCAGACCGTGATGGACGAGTAGCCCGTTTTGAAGGGAACACAGTGAAGGGTTGCCGAGATCTCCGCGTGACAGAAGCGGATGTTGTTCGAGAGCGTTTTGGAGAACGCGTGAGACTGCGTAGATCATCATCACGGAACTGGTCAGCGCTGCGTACCGAGCGGCGTGTGCGCTGAGATTTCATGGTGGCCGGGCATGACTGTCCTCGAGGAGAGGGGCTCGAGGAGGCTCGCAATGAGGGCATAAACTGTGGGTGCAGAATCACCGGTGGTGGTGGTGGTGGTGGAGGTGGAGGTGGAAGAAGTATTGGAAACCGTGGCGGGGTTGGAGGTGAAGCAGTCAATCGAACTGGTCTGTCAAGCAATGTACCAGGCCCGTGAAACTGTAACCACGTCGGCTGCGCTCCATGGGTCCAAGTTATGAATGTCTGCACATCTTGCTCCAACATGATTCGAACACTCAAACCCGCAAGTCGAAGAGATAAACGCGGTAGCAGCTCTGCCATGCATGATATCCAAGTCATCAACAACTTTCATGACAACCAACAATGCCCTCAATGTCAGAAATGTCATGAATGTCTTTCAAGTCCTCACTGCAAAGTATGCCAGCCATGTCATGCAAGCAAGTGAGAAAAGAATCATGCGATCTACCATGTCTGCAATTCAAACCATCTCGTCAACTTGCAACGCTCACGGAATGCACTGCCACCTTCCGGGAGTCTTTCGTTCTCTCGATGCAAAGTGCCCTAAGCGCGAGCCTCCAGCTGCTTCCAGGCTTGCTTGACTTCCTCTGTGGGCTTCTGAAGGAAACGGGCAATGGTTTTGTAGGTGGGCCTGGAATCCTTGTCCTTTTTCCATCTGACCATCTCATCTAGTTCACCCTGTGTCCATGCCGTGAACGGTTCAAGATGTGCATTGCGAAGGGCAATAGTGAATTCTTGTAGAAGTTCACGAGATCCATGAACCACCGTGGGAGATGGACGGAACGATGAAGCACCTGGATGTGGACGAACTGAACCATCCGAATCCGAATCAGGTGTGGTAGGCGATGCCTGTCCTGGTTCACGACCGCTGCGAGGGGGAAGGGGAGCAAGAGGTCTTGGCGGTGGTAACCGATCCAACATTGTCTCCGGACGGCGACCAGAAGTGCTGTCAGTGGCATCCCGATGTGCCGCACGAGGCGGGGATAGGGTAGAGGAAGTATCCACAGGCCGGGATCGGATTCGAGTAGGAGTGCGAGACCGATCGGACGAGATGCGCTCTGTGATGATGCGAGGGCGCAGTCCATGCCTGGAATTCCGTGGAGTTGTGGGAGACACTCGGGTGTCGGACTGCTGGTTTCGCTCTGTCGCCAGGGCAAAGTTCAGGGTGTCCAGGGCAGTCGCTACTTGGGATGCGAGGACATTGAGTACCGCCACCAGGTTGTTCACGAACTCCACTGACAACTGCATGGTAAATGAAATCAC